GCATCGAAATCAAAATAAAATCGTCACATGGAACAATGGCGCGAAATCTCGACGAGGAGAGTCGAGGCCGACCCTCTCTCGTCTCGTTCTCGAGCCTCGAGGAAACAAACGTGGGGGACAAGTGGGGGGGAAGGGGATTGTGGACAGAGCGGTAGAAATTAGCGGTCGAATAATCGGGGTCCGATTAAATTGACTCGATCGAGGGTCGCGGCAGATGGCGGTGAGGGAAAATCCAATGGAGAAATTTCTCTCCCTCCCCAAGTAGACAGTTTACATTTTAAACAGGGGAGAAAATTCTCCGCGTGCACCTCAGATTATTCGAGGAAAACCGCGATTTATGCTTTCTTTATCCATCATCGTTCCTTTCGCCCTTTTTCTTCCTCTCCTTTTTTTCTCTTCCTCGTGGACATTTGAGGCGAGGGAAAAAGAAAGAGAAAAAAAGGAGAAAAAAAAGGAATCTGCTCATGCATATTGCACGGGCTACGAAAGAATCGACCAAGGATTTAATTACTACGCCATAGCGTGATTATATAGCGCGCGAATCCTTGAATATTTCGTGTATTCCGTGGAATTATTCTTAAAGAAAGAATGTCCTTTCGTCGCTTAATTTTGCCAAGATTTCCGTGGAAGGTTTACCCTTTTGGGGGAGGGGGTAACTTGGTTACTCCGGGGATGGAGCATTGTTCGAATATCCACGTTTCTTTGCTTTTTTTTTCTTCTTTCTTTTCTTTCTTTCTTTTTTTTTTTTTTTTTTTCATTTCTTGACTGTACGACCTCTTTCCCATAACGAGAGAAACGGTTTTCATTCTGGATCTTGTGATCAAGATTTGTCTCGAATAATTTTGACTATAGATTATGGTTTCTTGTAGATTTAATTCACTTGTAACGAATTAAACATACATCGTTTATACTCGCGTCTTTATTTAAACTAACTTAATTTTTATCTTTTGTATTGTTACCTTGTGGAGTTGATTAATTTTTTTTTCTATTAAAATCGTATGTTATTACACTATCTACTATTAAAATGATTTTACCAAGAATTTGATTAAAAATCGGATTCTAAAAATAATGGAAAGAGAATATCGAGATTTAATTAGGAGATTTAATTAAAGGATGGCCGATTTAAGTAAATTAAAGTTCAATTTTAAATCGTCACAACTCCTGGCATAAAATTACGTTTGTTTTTTTTTTTTTTATAAATTTATATTATAATTGATACTTGCTTGATGGCTGACATTTAATTACGCCACTTTGACAGACAATAGATAATCATCGAAAATTAATATAAAATTTTTCTTTCTAAAAAAAAAAGATGGAAAAATACGACTCTATTCTCATAGTTGATTCTTTTCAAACTCTTTATTTTTTTTTTTTTTTTTCTTTCGTTCGTTCTTACAATTAAAAACCATAGAAGTTAAAAATAAATACAACGAGTGAGTAATACTGTAATGACTAACATAGTGAGTAATCTCATTGATATTATTTTTAATTATATATTAACGAACTATTTCTTATCTCTAAATAAAAAACTATGAGAATACGTAGAGTATAATAAGTTATATGTGGAGCAATTGATAAAATTTTTGTTTAAATTTCCCTATAAAATAATGTTCGTATAAACTTCTTGTATAAATACCCTCTTTTATCGATTTCCTATTTTTTTTCGTATATACGCGCCTTAACACGTTTTAAAACGTTTGACAGCTTTCAAAGTAATGTAACAATTTTTCAAACGAACTCGTGCTAAAGAATAAGACAGATCTCTCCTATTAAAATTGGAAACGACTGACAGAGGCTTACAAACTTGGCAAATACAACAATATACGTGCATAGATCAATACGATCAATATGATCAAAACCCAGTTTTAACATGACCCAATCCAAGTGTAAACTATTAACCTGACCCGATCTGTACACTAATTTCTACCAATCTAGATGTAAAATCTGTTCCACGTTTAAATAGTACACAACTGCCACTTTGCATATATTCTAAATCAATAATCGTATCTGTCAAACAATGCTTATGAGATGCAGGTACAATCAGTGGCAAAA